GTTGGGACATTCTTTTGAACAGTGGTTGCTTTGTTTCCCCGATGTATAACTGGTCGCAGTCCTCCTGGCACTTAACAGCATATACAATATTGCCCGGCAGGCAATGTTGTATATGCTGTTAAGTGCCAGGAGTAACTAACAGTGCTGTTAAGTGTTAGAGTAAAATAAAAAGATTAAACTGAACCAAACTGCATGGAAATTGATCAAATAATAATGATTTTGTGGACATTTAAAAATTCCATTATTATCAATGTGCATTTCAATGCATTTTCAATGGGACGATTTGGGCCAGAGAAATAAAAACACATTTGTGTAGCAGGAAGTGAACCCTGGCTGCTCAGTTTACAAGCAGAGCTCCAGGACAAAGCATGCAGGCAGGTAGGCAGTGTACTGGTAAGGGTTTTCATTCTGCACTACCCCAATGTAGGCATACTTCTATTTTGGTTAATATTGGTAATATTTTTAAACAGATTTTGTTGGAAGCAATGCCAGATTGTGGCCCACGTGATGGGAATCAGAATATATATGGTTTTTGGGGGTCTACCTGTTATGGTTTTTGAGTTTACCCCAGACCAACAGAAAAAGCCTTTTTCCTTTATTTATTTAGATGCAGAGGTAAACATAGTGAGGAGTCAATGCTAAGTTGTTTAAATAAAATGATATTTGCACACAACAATAATATAAAAATATTCAGGCCTTGAATTTCTTCAGGTTTTTTTGAAGACTAAATCAAAGAATTGTTGTMTTTGATGTAGTCTTCATCAAAGAAACGATTCATCTTTGATTAATTCAGTTTTCTGCTCCAGTTTTTGATTTGCTGCTCCTCCACAGCTTTAACTCATCCAAAAATATCATTATTCAGCCGGACTGAGAATATCATGATCTGATGTTCAGTGGCAGGAATAACAGATATCTGATAAAAACAGTGAACAATTGTACACACAAGATTTTAACAAAGTGAGTAAAGAAAACCCAAACCTTTGTGGAGCGGTGTGAATGCAGATTTCACAGTAAAAACATTGAAAGAGGTTATGTAAAGTTAAACTTTACGTTACTGAAAAATATAAAGTCACCTTGTTCACAAGATTTCACCACAAAAATAACTTTTGAGCTTTTTGGGTTGATTTTTGTTATCAAATTTTTACTATTACAGTTTATAATTC